AAGATTTTGTCGAAAATGATAACAAACCACGTAGAGAGGTAAAATTGAGAGCACAGCAAACAAGAGCAAAGCTCCAAGAGAACCTGAGGCATTTAGTTGAGAATTCTAAGCAATAAAAATAAGAGAAAATAATCGCTCTCCGAACGTAATACCGTAGTTGAGTACGCATATATGTATTGTATATGTAATACGTGTATATATATACAAATTTTTATGCATAGAAGTAGGAGAGATTCGAAAATCCTCAAGGCGTTTTGTGAAAGAATTTCACACAATCACACATACGCGCATATAACCTATACAAACACACTTTGCTGCCCATTATATCGCAAATTCGTGTGTAAGGCGAAGACGTGATAGATTGTTGTTGAATTTGTAGCAAATAAAGAATGAAAGTTTGGTAGCTAAATCTGTTTAAGGCCAAACAAAGGACGAGAAGTTGACGGTATGAAATTTTTATGCTTTTCAAAAGCAATGTAAACGTGCTGCGTTGTATAAATATATATATATATATACATAAATACATATGTATGGGCTAACAGCAATATGCGTGTCCAAATACTCGTACATACAAATATATTATAATACGATTGATTATTATATACACGTGTATGTATGTATGTACATATGTATGTTGCTCAGGATTGACAGGCCGACACTCTATATAAGAGGTTCGCCAAAGACATTTGCTAACAAATTTTTCGGCATACACGTAAATGCATTAAATATTTTTATTACCGATTGCGACTTTGCATTTTTAAGCGATTATACATATCATTACTTGCTGATACAATAAGACGGGTTTCAAATTTTCAAAATTTCTATTAAAAAGCGAAATATAATTTTTTTTTATTCTCTGTCCTTTCCAACATGCTGTTCATTGATTGTGACAATAACGGTATATAAACAAGTTTTTTATGAAGGATTACACATTCTGCCTTTATATAGGTTATCCATTTCGTGATTTCAAACGTACGAGTACAGGGTTGCATTTTCAAATCTGTCAAACTCAAATGCCAAACTAAAAATGTTTTGTTGTAGTTAAATCTCAGTCCATTATGAAAATAGAAACGCTTAACAATAACACAAAGCGTTGAAATCATTAAAACTCACTACAAAAATGGTGAGTCAAAGGAGGCTACGTGTCGTGCATTCAAAGGAGGTTATGGTGCACATAATCATCCAATCACTCAAGCAATGCGTAAAACCGTAAAGAAATTTGAAGAGACTACATCGTGTACGGATTTTGTGAGGCTTGTGCATCATTCTTTTGCTCGTGCCACCTCAAATATCTCTACTGTAAGTGTAAGTGTAGCCGAAGACCCGATTGTATCTATTTCTCGACGTTCTTAAGAGCGGCGACTTTCCTACTGCACATTATGGCGTATTTTGCAGCTTATATAAAAACTGAAGCCTACTTACCATTCATAACGCCCCACACACGTCAATTGGCTTGCTAGAACAACAAGCGGTGGACGGCGAATTTTAAAAATAAAAGCTTTCTTCAGCGTCAAAGAAGCAAAAATTTGATCTCCTAGAATCCTCAAATAATTGAAGAGGGACCATTACATTATAGTCTGTTGGACTCTTTGGTTAATAGGTGAGATTGGTCCATACTTCTTTGAAAACGAAAACGGCGAGACTGTCACTGTCTATTCGGAGCGTTATGGTCTTATGATAATCGGTTTTTTTTTTTTGGCATGCAACATGACTTTGACAATATGTAGTTTCAATAGTAGTGTGTCATATGTAACACAACACGAGGGAATATGGCTTTATTGCGAGAGAAATTTTTCGGACGAGTGATCTCTCATTGGCTACCGAGATCGTAGGATTTGATAGTGTTGAAGTTTTTCTGTGGAGCTACGCGAAAGACCGAGTTTATGCAGATATACCTTTAATTCGTGAGCACTTGAAAACCAACGTTGTGGCCCAGATACAGCCCAATATGCGCCAGACAGTGGTCGAAAATCACCTCAAACGGATCGAAGTTTGTTAAAATTCGCGAGACGGTCATTTGAACAGTGAAGTGTTTTAATGATTATATACAATATTTGTCCTCCTTTAGTCAACCAATACTACTGCAAACAAGACAAGCAAATAGAAATTTTCGCTTTAAAGATTTTGGCATGTTGTTGTGCTGTTCTAGGTGGAGTTTTTCGTGACGCAATGTACAAGTAAAGGACAACATAAAAAAAAAAATAAAGGTCTACGAATTGACATATTTATATTTAAATTAATTAAATAAAGTACCGAAAAAATAAAAAATTTGGGAAAAATATATCAAAGATATTATAATATATTAGGTGTAGTAAAAAGAAATCCATTATTTTGGCATGTATTGAATGTTTTTTTTTTCTTTTCGTTTCCAGTCTTATTCAAATGGCTGTGCTCACATGACGGTCGGACACGACAATCCGTGGAGAATCTTTTACATTGAAATTACCAGAATGAAAAGGAAATTGTGTATGATTGACTGCACCAGTATCAGGACCATAAATGCTATTCACATTTCAGACGCCTGGCTTGCGTTTTCGCCATTATCGAAGGAGACTGTAAAATATAGCGTGTTTTCTGTTTGCTAGTGTCCATTTTTCACGCAGGTTCAAACAAAAATGAATCAACCAATCATAAAACTGTCAGAGAAGCTTTTTTAGTACGAAGTGTCATCCTTCTAACGCCATCTATGGAGCACCACATCGGGCTTGCACACAGCGAGATACAGAGAAATAAGTTCTTTTTACCGTATGATTCGCGCCAAACTCCTTTAACAATTTGTGGTATGCGTCTGATATTTTCTTATATAGCGAGCTTAACTTTACCATCCCTTTAAGATCAGCTAGACACTTTAAGCCCCTTTCATTGGAATGCACGACTCTTTTCTGACTGGCTTTTCCGTATCAAAACCTACTTTTTGAGTGCTGTTTTTCCTACTTTCCGCGTTTGGTTTCGGGTTCAGGGTAATCCGGACTGTTACTAGTTTTTGGTCATCGCTCGGTTCGTCGTTAGAAAAAAACGGAGTGATCTTTAGCTTATATTAAACAGCCTACGACTGGTTGATGGAGGAGACTTTATTTCATGTCAGATATACTTTCGGTGGGGCTCAATATTCCCTGAAGAGAGGTGACCGCAATTAGAAAAATTAATAATATTAAGTCTAGTTAAAAGCAAGCCAGAATTGACACCCAGGAAGGTTTTGTTGTGTGTTTGGTGGGATCGGCAAGGAATTATGCACCATGCACATCCAAACTCTTAATTTGATTCTATCTTTTCAGCAATTGGACCGTTCGAAAGAAGCAATCACCTAGAAGCACGCAGATTTGGCCTACAGGAGGATAATTGTGTTTCATCAGGACAACGCTAGACACCGTAGACATCAATATCGAAATGTCGAGAGTTTGTTTGGGATGATCTCATGCGCCCCCCTTAAAGTTCGGATCTCACACCAAGGGATTACCATCTGTTTCTCTCTAGAGCGATTTATTTGGTTGGTGAAGTATTGGTCTCAAGGGAAGCCTGGGAAAATTGATTGGCTTAATTTTTTGCCAATATGGAGAAGGGTTTCTATGAGAGAGACATAAGGACAAAGTTGGCAAAAATTTAGCGAGCAAAAATTAGTTGTATGAGATATACGGCGACGTTGTCATGGTTCAGCGAATCAAGAGAGAGCGGCACGTAAGTGATTGATAATAAACTGAAAATTCACGTAATTAAGAGCACCGCGCTGCAATTAAATTCTTAGTAAAAAAAGAGGTACGCCGAAAAATATTTTTAAAGAGATGTAATCGGTTCTTCAGGACTTTGTGTCTTCATATACGATGGTGAACAAATGGGCTCCGGTATTTCAACAAGAAGGAAGAGAGACCTGTGCAGGTGGCTCCGGCCGATATGATGTGGATGAAACTTGCAAGCGCATTGTAACAGTTGATGAGACTTGGAGTCATTAGACAGAAGTCGATAATGTGGGAAAAAGGGGCCATAAAAAAAAATAAAAAGATACCATTCATTTTCTGAGATAGCAAGGGAATATTGCAAAATGGATTACTTGTCGACCTGAGCTACAATAAACGGCCAGCATTACACCAATTTGTTGAGTGAGACGCGTGAGGTAGTCGTCCAGAAGAGGCGTGCGAAGTTAGCGCGGGGAGTTCTGTTTCTTAAAGACAAAGCACCCGTGCGAGGTATGCCTTAAAAGCGAGCTATTGGATTTAATGAAATTGACTATCAACCCTACAGTTCGGACCTGGCTTCCAGTGACTTTTCTTTTTTTTTTTTAAATTAAAAAAGAAGTATCGTGGAAAAATATTTTCAGACGACATTGAGATGAAAGCGGCCGTAGAAAACCATTTTAAAAAGAAACCTAAAAAATATTTTTTAAGTGGTACGATATGGAAAATGTATTTCACTTAAGGCAGCTCATATTGAAAAAAAAAAAACATAAAACTATATATTGTTTCTTTAAGAACTTTCCATCGTTAACTTATCAACCGCACCTTGTATTCACCCTATATAATGCCGACCAGCCTGGCCCAAAATCTCAAAATCGATTTGTTCAAAGTCTGTACGCTAGTGTGAAATCTCTCTTGGTGTAGGTTTTTGTAATATTTCGGAAAATAGGTATTTTTATTCCGCGAAATAAAAAACCTGATGTGTACATATATTTTCTTTGATTTTTTTTATTTAATTATTTGGTGACGCTAATACATAAAATTTGTTGTAAGTTTTCGTGTGATGAAAAAGTTTCGTAATTAAAAAAAAAATAAGTAGAATCTCTTAAGGTCAGTAGTAGCTTGAAAGATTTGTAAGTTAAACTCATTTATTTAATTTTCTAGGCAATAATTCACAATTCACATACTCAGTCCCTAAAGTCCCATGTCGCCGTTGATATTAATACAAATACAAATATACAATGAGAGCAATGCATAAATTATGGACTAATTCACTTAAGCTTAATGCATATTTAGAGAGTTTAAAATCATTTCCTTCTCAATTACACTTACGTTTTTATTTATTTACTGACTGTGTTGAGTATCAGCAGAATGACAGCGAAAGTCACGTATTTGAATTTCTTTTTGTAGTTTTTTTCACCCTTTTTCTCTTTCTCTCTTTCTCTCCTTATATCAATTTACGTCTCTATAACACCCGCTACGCCTACTGGACACGGCTGGTGGTGATAGCTTTTCGTTGTAGTTGATTTAAGCTCTCTAAATACACGAGAGGAAAACTACACGACATTAACTCAATTCGTTTTTCGTTTTTTCTTGCGATACCGCTAGCACTTTATCTACTTTATATGTATTTGTTATTTTAGCATTATTATTATAATTATAACTTTATACTTATTTGATTTTTGTGTTTGTTTGTTTATTTCTTTTTCTTTTTCCTTTTTGTTGTTTTCTATGTACTTTTCACTTAGCGAACGACATTAAATCAATACGAACGAAATTCACGAAAAAACTTGCGCACATTTGTATTTTCTGGGTTAATTTAGCAGTGGTGGAATGCAGTGGAGAGCAGAGAGGAATGCGGTGTAAATTGAAAGAGATTATTTCCGTTGCTGCTGCTGTTACTGCTGCTGCTGGTGTTACTGTTGTCGGTGTTGCTGACGGTGCGGTTTCGTTGGTTCGGTCGGTTCATAGGTTGGTTAATTTGTCGTCGTTGGCTTTTATTGTTGTTTCTTTCGCTTCGATGGCTGGGTTTTTGGTTAGCCTTAGTGGGTAGTGATGATGATAGCGCTGCGAAGATGTGAAAGGTTAAGAGTGTGGGGGGGAGGTGTGGAGAGATATATATATGTATACATATATATGTACATATGTATATGTATAAGTATAGACAATGATAGTATTGTCTTTCCTAAAAGAAAATTTCCTTACGAGTTGTAAGCGAATGCGCGTGTCGGGCTGAGAAAATTCGTATAATGGAAATCTAGATATTTGTATGTGTATGTATACAGAAATTATTGTAATTTTCTATGTGTTTATATATGTATGTGCGTATGCACGTGTGTGTGTATGTATGAATGTTTGTATATATGTATTTACATATGTAAAATATAAAAAGTTCAATGCTGCGTGTGCTGAAGTGTACAAATCCACCAAGTAAATTGCGCGTGGCCCTCTGTGTATACATATATATGTATGAGTGTATGTCTATCTGTCAGTTTGAGACTTAATGCCACAGCGCAGCGCGATGACATATAGAAAATTCGCAATTTCTCGGTCGACTTTTAGGCGAATACACGTTGGTAGCGAGTGTAAGAGTGAGTGTTCAAAGAGCAGAGAGTGAGAGTAAGCATTTAAAAATAGGAGATATTGTTTTTATGACAGTTCTTTATAAGGCATCAAATACTTTTGCTCTCCAACTCTCCCCCACACGCTGAGTGTGTATGTATGTGTATTGTGTAAAAGTATTTGCTAAGCTTTAGACTCAGCGACGCTTGGGGCGACTTTCGGGATAGAGATTTTTTCATACAATGACAAGCAATGTTGATGGACCGTTGCAACCTAATGGCTGAAATAAATGTCTACGTATTTTTCCGTTGGTAATAACGCGGCTTACATTCTTCCGCTGCTAAAACGTCAAAAGCACTTTTCGTTCTTTAATTATGTAAGGAAAATTAATTAATATTATTTTTTTTTTTAGACCTGCTATTTTTTTTGTTTACGCTATTTGAGCTACGTGTTTTTGTTGTTGCATATAAGTCAACATTTTCGCTGCTCTCAGGTGTGCCGTGTGTGTTTCATGTACATACATATATGCGATGTATGTATGTACACGTATGCATGTATGAATGTAAGTCAGATTGTCTTTTTGGCTAAGAAATAGCAAAATTACATTTGAGCTAATGTTGATTACACAACAAATGCTATAGAGAAAAATTACTTCGCCCCGAATGTGTGCATTTTTTAATGCTTTTAAATGAAAAAAAGCGAAAATAGTTAAAATATTATTAAAGAAAAACGTGGAATTATTTGGCATGCTTTTTAGCAGTTTCCTTTAGCACTCAATGCTGGTTTGGCTGAAAATCAATAAATTCATATTTCGTTGACCATTCGTTAGTTTCGAGGCCCGCTGACCGAGTTTCGTTGATAAGTGTTTTCCTTCACACAATCTAGTTGTTCTTTTTTGATATTTTAATTTTTTTTTACATTCGTATCTGCTTACAGTAGAAATAAGTTTTTCACTTTTTCCCGATGCTTGTACTTTACTGCCAGCACGAAAATATATATCTATATAAGCAATTAATGGCTCACTCGCCCGCACTCCTACTCTTTCGCATTATCGTCACCGTGATTTTTTTCCTTCCTTCGTATTCACCAATAGGAGAGTTGGTTGTCTTTTGTTCAGCCTAAAATTTGCTAATTTTTCGCCTACCAAAAATTTAGTTGCACTTCAAAAATGAACTCATTTTCAATTCTTAATTTTTAATTATAGATTTTTCCAGGATTTTATCTTTTGTAAAATCATCAATTACTAATGTAAGACCTGTTTTTTTCTTTCTCTCTATATGTGAGTTCACCTTCAGCGCTGCAATTATTCCTCGTCAACGTTCACGGTCGATGCTTATTCGCGATTTGAGGTATTACAGTATAGAAAATCCTATGGAAAGCGTATATTGGCGAGCATTTCCTCATTGGTTGGAGTGTGACAAACGATACGAAATCGATTTTTTATACAAAAAACGGCACGAATGGCTGGCAATCACGCAAGTAGTTAGAAACACTGGCGGAATGAGCTTTGAAAGCTCTAAAGACGGTTAAAATGAAACTCATTATGTTGGTTACAGTTAATAAATATGAAATAATTATTTTCGGTTTTATCAATAAAAAAATATATTTCTTCGTTTAAATTAAAAATTTAAGTATTAACACAAAAATATATTTTTTTAAAACCTGTTTAAAAAAGTAGCATTATTTTTTAAGAATCAAGTAAACCAAAGTTGCTCAGTTCAGGCTTAAATAAGGTTGTTTTATACAGACAACACTTTTTATTTCGAAAAACCCGTAAGCGCTCACAAAGCTCCTATCGCGCTCTTATTTCTCTTACCTTAAAAGCTTAGTAGTTCATTGGCAATATTTCTCTCTTTAATTTCTGACTATACCAATATCTAAAGTATGTTGCCACTGTGACAAAATAGGAAAAAAGGAAGGCTAAGGTAAGTGTGGAACAGAAAATTCAGGCAGATACTCGGCTGACAGGTGGTAGAAAAAGTAGAACACTAAAATTTCCACCGATGTGGTGGCTCGTAATTTAGGTCACAAATTAAAATTTATTTTCTGACTTTCGAAAGCGGTAATAAATATCCCACAAATGCAGGATTCTAAGCCGCCTTCGCATGGTTGATTGATTTTTATGAGGAGCTTTACGTTCATATCAAAAATACACTCGGAGCTTTTGCCATTCCCTGTCGAGCCGCGGGCGTAGTAAGAAAAATTATCTTATTTTTTATTTAAATGAGTATTACATAATTTTGGTTGTTGGCCGGGCCAAGACCCAAACCTAGGACTACTCGCATGGTATTATATACTGTTAACCGCTCAGTATTTCTATAAAACAGTTAAAGTCAGGACCAGTCAACATGAAACGTAGGTCTATTGCTGGACCGATTTCAGCCATATTTGGTATAATTTTGTCCCCACCAAGCTTGGTTGGTTATTTTATATTGAGTTACATTTATTCACTGAAATATCGCGATTTTTGTATGTCATGTTGTCGCCTTTAAAGTAGCGTAATTATGTCGGCTTTTCTTCTAATCTCCGATGCACTCTCAAACTCACTAAATCGCCGGTCTTTCAAGGTGCGCTTTATTTTATAAAAAATGTGTAAGTCTTACTGAGCCTTAACTGGTGAATATATGGGGCATCGTTGCAATGTTCTTTGTGGCCAAAAGCTTGTGAACAAAGAATGAAGTATGAGTAAGTGTATTATCCTGCAAAAAAAAGACATGAATTGTCTTCACACAAATTTGCAAGTTGTTTCACAGTCTTTTTCCCGCAAACGACGTTGGACTTGCAGATAGTTATTCTTATTGACCTTTTGATCTGGCGATTGGAGTTCACACCACTTTTTGGTCCTGGCGAGACTGACTACACTGCGGATGCTTTGAAGCAATTCGAATTAAGAATCCTTTATAAATATGTTGTGTGAAGCTAAAGAACAAAGGATGAAATCTTGTGGAACATGAGTATTCCCTAATGAAAATATGAAAATTTATTTGGTTCACTAATTTTTGAATATTAATTCTTTTGCTTTCTAAAATTTTTGCTTTCAAGAATACAGAATTTTCACAATTTGTTTACTCAATTTTGTTTAAATTCAACCGAATTGGCAACTTCAATACTTAAGTGTTCAACTTCAGTTGAGCAAGAGAAAATCTCATAGAGAGTTAATACAAAAATTGAGAGAAACGTTAGTGAACTTGACATCGCTCAAACATTACCGCTGTGCTCTTCTTGGCACTAATTAAAATAGCTTTTGAGCTGTTTCCTTGTAATCTCGCCATCATTCAGACACACTTTTTGATACACCCTTAAACGTGCTCTCTCTGAAACTTATGTGTAGTAACATGTATGAGTATATAATTCAGGAGAATACGCACACCAAGAATGTTTGTCAATACACCTATATATATATGTACATATGTACACTACATTGATACATAAAACTCTATTTACTTGCAGGCTTATGTATTCACATATCTCATAAGTGTGTGTTGTGATAAGAGGACGACTTTTCTCAATGACACAATAAGACTGACGCATGTCGGTGGAGTGGGTATGGGAGTGTGAGGCAGGTGGCGGTGGGCACCACTGGGAATATTTTCGAGAAAAACAACTAACTTTCAAATGACAAAGTAAAATATACAAATGATGCTTTTTCACTTAATTAAACAACAACAACAAAGACATGGTATTTTTACAACCCACTTTCCTCTCTAAATAAAACAGTTGTAGACTTTTTCAAATCAATAAGTTTACAGTATTAGTGTTAATTATTTTTAGTCCTACTATTAATTTTTTTCTTGTAAATTTTGCACACATTTCTGGACGAATTAAAAATAATTTTTTATATTCTTAAAAATTTTAATTAACAAATTAAATGAATTAATTCTAAGAAAACATAATTTGTAGAAACAATTTTTTTAAGAATGCTTAGTTAATTAAATTTGTATTTCTTAAAAATTACCGCATTTCGCTTTGAATATTTTTTTATTTCTTATTACATAACAGCAACATTTAACGGCAATGTAGTTCATAATGTTAGAGAAACATAAAAGTTTTTTATTAACTTTCCTCGTAAAAGCACTAAAAGCTTAGGATACTCTTTAACTGGTTAATACTTTCGAATGCTGCCAAAAGATGTCGCTGCAAGTATATTAACATCACTACCCTTTAGTACGTTACATGTTAACGGTATTTGAGCCATTTATGTTGTCACTTATACGGTCGTGGTAATCTAGATAACGTACCTTCTATCTCTTAATACGCTGAGCTATGTTAATATTAAAGTCGGCTTGCATAGTCATAGCAGAGAACGTCAAATAACGAGAAAGACCGATTGTGGACATCACGTAAACTGCCAGAAGCGACGAAAGAAATAAGATAATATTTAACCACTGCCGCCAGAAATTGACTCTGCTTTTCAACATGTCTGATAAAGATAATAATAAATTAATGAAATAATTGTCTACAAATATCATTCTTCTGTAAATCAGTCTCTGGAGAATCGCTGTTAACTAGTGGTGTAATAGTCTCTTAGTAGCGTAGGTGGAGCAAATGCCAATCCTTCTCTTTAACATATGTTCTCTGGTCATATAAGTTTCGCGGCGATACCCAATTCAGATAGGCAATCTTTTCATGGTATCAAAAACAGCTTTGAAATCGATGTAAATTTGGTGTGTATCGATTATTTTCTCATGGGTCTTTTTCAAGACTTGATGCATGGTGAATATCTGGTCAGTTGTCTAAAGCAAATTAACCGAGTGGCATTGCGCACTGCCATTCTGTAAGCCTCGTATAAAAAGCTCTTAAAATGTCGCCTCGCAGCTCGCGGGGTCGCTAATGGCTGCTCTCAGAGAGCAGACGTGCAAATCAAGTTGAGAACTGCCTGGCTAGTTGTTGGTACGGGCGCTTTTTGCACCACAGAACCGGATGCGTATCTTTATAAAGAACACTTGATACATGTTCTAGAGAGAGCTAGATAAATGTTTTTATGTTAGAGTATAGCACTAAATAATACCGTATTTCCGATATATTATATCAGCCTCAACCTATTTGAGGATGCTTCGTAATGGATAAGCAAGCTGTGGGAGTTCATAACAAGCAACTTTGGTCACATCGTATTTCTCTTCGTTCGAGGCATGGGCACGATTCAGTGATACGTCGAAGAATTTCGCTTAAAAGCGAATTGTGGTGAGACATTTATCCACTGGGGTGAATACAAGGGAGGCTCTTTATAAAGGATGCCAGGTGCAGCGAGTGAGTCTCTCTCCCAAAACGAATCCTACACCAGATTTGCCCTTCTCTACATGTCGCATGTCACAGGGATCTATTCCTTTCTGTTTTTGTTCCGTCCATCGGATTTCTTTGTTTGGCTGATCAGTAACACATTCCCAATTACAGAATCAAACATTCTGAGTGCACGCTCTTAAATTGTGGTTCCAAAACGTTTTCTTTTTCATTAAAACTGGCTTGCGCTCGGCAAGACGAGGCACTGCTCGGCAGACGCTCGCCTGAAGATCGATACTCGCTTACGTTCGCAACTCTCTAAACAGACGCTGCAAAAAGACTCTTTAACTGGATTTGTCGTAGTGGCCCCACTAAAGTTTTCTCACTCCCTCTCCTTTAGCAGTGATCACGAATTGACTACCGCATCCCGCATCCCGCATACCCCACGATTTAAATTAACTTGCGATTTGATTGGAAATTACTGCAGTCAATTCACTTAAAACGATATTGTATTTAAATCGATTACATAAGCAACAAACTCAATTGAGGTTCACACGAAGAGCATGGCCTTTGAAGCAAATTGGCAAATGACAACAAAAACAATTATCAAAGGCCGCTTAAGTAGTCACATACGATAGTATTCTATGTATGTATGCATGCATGTCAATCGCATTCCGGTTGATGTGATTATTCTGTTGTTTGTCATCAAAACGATTGGAGTTGCAGCAATAGAATTTGAGTTATTCGCATGTCCTTCGCATTCCAAATTAACAATCGCATTAACATTCTCTTGTTATGGAGGTATTCGCATGCGTTTGTTCGTCTGTAAACTGTGTATGATGCCAAACTCTATGATTGGCAACTGTTGTGAGATGTGCAAATTAATTTATGCCATTTAAACAACTCAACTGC